AGAACATTTGACTAGTTAGAACAATCTGAGTATAACTAAAACAAAACGTATGCCCCTCCCAATAGAGGTAAAGCAATGCTTGAATTTATTCCCCGTATTAAGAATTTTCAGCATTTAACTAATTTAAGACTGATTTTCCCCCTCATTTAAATTGATGGCATCTGTGAGCCAATTGGCAACTATTAGGAGCTGCATGAGTTCCAGATAGCTTTAAAAGGGTAATTATTTTCAGGCCACTCATGTATTTTTAAATATTTAATTTAGAATTCAGAATAAAATTTGCCTTGTGTGTTTGACATTTTGTCAGGGGAAAATACAAATCTCCAAAACAATGATAATATCAATTGTGATTACAGCAAATTAGAATCACATCCAGTCTCCACCCTTGGGGTTGTTTTGGGACCAAGACAAACACGGCTAAAGAAATTAAATTGCAATAACTAATTTGCCTTGACATTGAGCAAGAAAAATTGGAGGAGGCAAAGGTACCATGGGTTACCTGCATCAGGACTGCTGTTTCCTCAGTTCAATGGAGAGTTGTCACCCTGCCAAGGAAAGCTGGGAATGCAAGAGCCCTGAAGGTACAGCTCTTAGACTGGGTAGACCACTCCCCAGTTCTGCATATCTGTAATAGCCATCCCTAAGGGTGACCACTTGAGTACAGCAGATAACATCAGCTGGCATATGAGTGGGGAAAACATTCTGATCTTATCAATAGCCACAACAGCTATTGTTCTCTATGTCCCTTTCTTGGTACCCCTCCTACACAAGACTTCCTGCATATTTACCTCATGTGCTATTCACGACACTATTTCAGAAAGGTATTACAATCCTCATTTAACTCATAAGCAAACTGGAGCTTGGTTAGGGTGACTTACTTGCCTAAAGTCACAGGTAACAAGAGGCAGAAGGGAGTTTTTTTCAATCCATATCTGAGTCTCAAACCTAAGTCTTTTCCCCAATGTGCCAAGGATGTATAGCCAGTTGTGGCAGCCAGTCTACAAGATGGCCCAACTTCCTGGTATCCATACCCTCATGTAACCCTCCCTACTGTACCAGGGTCAATCTTAGTGACCAATCGCATTTGGCAGAAGTGAGGGTATATCACTTTTGAGATTAGGTTATAAAAGCTGTGGCTTGCCTGTTAGGTGTTCTCTCTCTCTCTCTCTCTCTCTCTCTCTCTCTCTCTCTCTCTCTCCCCTTCCCTCTCTCTTTCAGCCTCTGCTCTTGGGAAAGCGAGCTGCCATTTTGTAGCAGCCCTGTGAAGACACCTACTGGTGAAGAACTGAAGCTCTGGCCAACAACCAGCAAGGACCTGACTTTGGAAGCAGATTCTTCAGCCCCGACCAAGCCTTGAGACGACTGCAGACCTGGACGCTGGCTTGATTGCCGCCTCCCGGGAGAGCCTGAGACAGAAGCACGTAGCTAAGCTGCTCCCAAGTTCCTGACCTTCAGAAGCTGGGTGACATATTTGCTGTGAAGCTGCTAAGTTTTAGAGTTACACATATAACAAATACACCAGAGTATAGGAATTTTCATAAAGATGATAAGTGTATCGTCTCTGGATTCCCCAGTGTACTGCATTTGCAAAGCCTTATGTAAATACCACAGAAGAAACAAAAGTTCATAAGAAATAACATACCCCACCAGCAACAGCAGCCCTCAGGTAGCTTAGAGCCAGAAGAAAAGAGAAAAGCATATATGTAGGCAGACCCAAAATATTTTTAAAAATATTTCTGTGATCTTCTCTTGGGTCTTTCTGTATATAGTAGTACCTTCTCCCTAGTCAGTCCAAATTATCTAAGCTGAAGCTTTGGGGTATTAGGATTATTATAGAAGAGCTGCAGAGAGAAAGAAAGGTTTATAATTGAGCTTCTTAAATTCAAAATAGCATTTTCTTGCAAGATAATTGGTCATAAGCCAGACATTGTTGAAAATGAAACAATTTTCTAAATTCTGTTAGCTCCCATTTAACATATCAAGGGCTAGTCCTGGCATATTAAATCACAGGCTTTCTTCCATAGAGTAGAGAATATAACTTTCTACCTATGATGGCTGGCCCAGAGCCAAAGGAAGATAAGACATAGGAAAAGTAAAGGAAAATCCCATCTATAGTAGATACAATGGTCCCCAGACCCCCTTTGGGACTGGAGGATTTATTCTACCAATTGCTGGAGTTGCCACTGGAAGACAGTCCTCTGCTCTCAGCCTTCTTAGAAATTATGTCAGCTAAAGGGTCACCTTGCCCAGGCCATGCACCCTGGCAGGGCGCTCCCATCCAATAACCGGCAGATGCAGGGCAGTGTAAAGGCTTGTTTCTCTTGCCCCGACTCAGGACAACTCTGAAGAGCCACCCCAGAGCTCCCGTGGGACTGTCTGGGCCTTGGGCCTGCAGCAGAGCATGACTTCTCCCTTAACCCAACCAGGCCTCCTTCCTTTCCTTCCATAAGTGGCGATCTCTAGAGGACTCCCCAGTAAGCCTTCTGTGCACTAACCCACATCTTAGCACCTGCTTTCCAGAGAAACTGTGACAAGGTCCCTTTGAGCCTTGACAGATGGCAGAGACCATCCTGCAGGCTGGCGTTGCACCAGTGCAGGGAGCCCCAACATAGTCCGGGCAGAGCAAGAGGCTCAGCAGCAGAAGGTCAAGTTTGCTCTCCTGGGCATTCTTGGTGTTCAATGCAAAGGGAGTGCTGTAGTGAGAGCAAACAGGCCGGCCATGGAGCCTGCCAGGTCAGGCAAGTGTTCGGGAAGACAATGCCAGGCTAGGGGCCAGTTAATGGCTACAGCAGCGTTTCAGAGGGGTCTCTAGTTCTTAGATGCCAAGGGGAGTCTAAGGTGGCAGGGAAAGGAGGCAAACTGCAGGCAGAGCTGGAAGAGATCAGGACTGGATTTAACAGCAGCAATGGCAGCAGCCAACATGGGCAGTGGATGGGGACAGAATGGCCGGTCAGGCCCAAGGCCAGGGGCTTCCTTCATCCCAGTCCTGTGAGGCCACAGACACACTCCTCCTTCCTCCACCTACGTGGCCCCGGTGCTGGGAAGGAGGAAAGAGGAGAGCGTGGAGCTCTGAAGACAGATGTACTGAGCTGAATCACCCAAGCAGAACAGCCTCTGCCAGCCTCAGTTACGTTGCTACAACTCCAGTGGTGGTGCTAAAGGTCCCAGGAGACTCCATCAATGCAAAATGTACAAAATGTACTTTTATAAAATGTATGTTTTTAAAATGTATTGGGTTATCATCAAGACACCTAACCTCTTCTCTTTGACAGTTCTATTTTTGTAATGTCTTTGTTTTCCAGTAGATGGAATAATTTTTGATGGCCGGATACATACTAAATTAGATGAAAGCTGCATGTATAAGCATTCACGCTGCAGTGCATAGCTGAGAGCCAGCACATCTACCCGGTGCCCCCACCACGGTGTAGGGAAGGGCTAGGACTGTCCAGATTAGAGGCCAGGTGAAGGCCTGAAAGAGAAAAAGGGGGTTCTGTAGCCCTCCAGCGTAAAGGGGAGATCAAGCCAGCTGCCCCTTGTGTTTACGAATCCCTGAAATTGTGTATGTTAAAAGCAGGATAACCACACATCCCAGCTTTCTTGGGAGAGTCCTGGTTTTACCTAAGATTCTCATGTTCTATCTGGCCAGCAGCCCCTTTCCTTCTCAAAAGTATCCCAGTTTAGATGAGAAATTATATGGTCACTTTAATTAAAAGCTATTCATTTTATAAGGAAATAATTATATATTTAACAGGAAATTTCTCTGTTTAAATAATCTTATAATGAACACTGTGAAAAAGCAAATAAACATTAAACATTAACCCTCCCATTAAAAGTGAGAGATTGGTTTGTTGATTAATTGACTATTGGATTGGACAGAGATCAGCAGATGTTTGGCTTTGGTTTTCCCTTGTCACAACAGGCGGGGGCTCAGAAGGGAACCGATCAGCCATAGACATCAGGAGATCCAGTTTCCTGTGCACATCTCAATTGAATGAGTGAATTTGCAACGCCCTACACTCGGGAGAAGTTAACCATCTCAGGCAGCTGAGTCAATGGCACGGAGAACAGTGGTCGCTGACATTCAGAGGAGGAAGAAACCACTGGCAACTCTGGTTGTCCTCGAGGCTTCCTTTGAGAACTATGGCTAGATCTTGGGCTCGAGAGGGAGGGAGGAGAGGAGCACCCACAACAGGCAGGTGCAGGCGCCCAAGGGGACAGAGGCGGGCATGGCTGAAGCACAGCGCAGGGCTGCTGCAAGGAACAAAGACATGAGCCCGGGAGGATGGTGCAGACTGGCTTAGGAGGGGCCCAGGCCTGGGAGCTCCTGCCAGTCCACTGGGGGAGATCATGGGAAATACTGTACTGGGGTTAGTTGCAAGGATGCTGCCGAACGTGAGAGTAGCCATCGGTATGGCTAGCTTTGCTGCTGTTTTAGTTGCATGTTTTGAATAGGTAACATTCTTATGGTGAAAATTTCAAAATGAACAAAATGATACATAATTTTAAAACATCCTCACTCTTCTCCCCATGGCCCCTGTTTCCTCTTCCCAGAGGCAATCACTACATCCCTGCCTTGTCTACCCTTCCAGAGATATTCTATATCATATAAACCAATGATATTCTCATTCCCCTCTCCTTTGTGGTTTCTATGCACTATTCTGACCTTGCTTTTTTCATTGAAAAAATGTATCTTGAAGATTGTTCCATATCAGAATATTAAAAGTACCCGTGTATCCTATGCCCTCACTAGTATATAGACATATCGTGGCTTATTTAACAATTTCCTATTAATGGAAATTTCAACTCTTTGCTGTTAGCAATGCTGCAATAATTGCCCTTATACATTCACCATTGCACACCTGTAAGTACATCTATGGGATGTTTCTGTTACCAAACCCACATGGGCCGGGGATGGGGTGGGTCTGGCCTAAGTCTGATTGCTTATCACACAGAAACACAATTACTGAGACAACAAGGATTGCCAAGGAAGAAAGGTGATTTATTACAGATGATGTCATCTGGGAGACAGGAGGAATCCCTCAAATCCAGCTCCCCAACCGTGGGTAGGGGTTTTTATAAGGGATTCAGGAAGGTGGCCACGTGTATTGGTGCAGGTTGTATTGAAGGTGACATGTGCAGAAGTCTAATTCAGAAGCCACAGGTTGGTGATGGCTGGTGAGTCTTTGTTATCCCACAGAGTCTGTTTATTCCTTGGAGACAATTAAAAAGGTAAAATGGTTAATCAAACAGGAATATTATAATGTTCTGGTCATTTAATGCTACAGACCTAGGAATCCAATGCATAAGAAAGCTACAGAGAAAGTATATATGGTGGGGAGGTCATTTTGTTTGTTCATGGAGCCGATTACATTCCTAAAAGAAGCTGAGACAAAGCATATGTGCATTTGTGATCTTTTTTATTTTTAAAATTTATATTTTCATTGACAAATCATAATTGTATTACATCAATGGAGTACAATGTGATATTTTAATCTGTATATACAATCCTGAGTGATTAAATCAAGCTGATTAACATAGCCATAACCTCATTTACTTGAAATTTTTTGTGGTGATATATTTGAAATTTACACTTAGTTATTTGCACTTACATATAAATACAATACATAATTATTGACTATAGTCACCCTGATGAATCAACCTAAGTATCTATCAACAGACGAATGGATAGACAAAATGTGATATATACGTACAATGGAATACTATTTGGCCTTGAAAAAGAGCAAAATCCTGTCATTTGGGACAACATGGTTGAAACCAGAGGACATTGTGTTAAGTGAAATAAGCATTTGCAATTTTGAAATATCTTTCGACCCTGCCCTCCATGAAGGTTGCACCAAAGGTCATTCCCACCAGAAGGCCTGTTTCCCCCGAGCTCAGCGAGCTCAGTGGGCTGTCAGACTTTTTGGTGCGGGGCCAGTGCTGGGAGGTGTGGATGGGGATGAAGCACACTACCTCCTCTGTTTCTGCTATTTCCTGACAAGTCAAGGGACCCCCAAGCACTCTCCACTCCCGGGAAGAAAATGTCACTTATTAGTCAACTGGGGAAGCATAAACTAGGTGTGCTTCTCCCAGTTCCTCCTCTGGGCACAAGCTGCCCCAGAAAACAGATCTTGTTACTACATGCAGCACGGGGAAGCCCACCTCGGTGCAGTGACCTGGGACAGGCTGCCCCTTCCTGGGGTTAGTCGGTGGCCTGGTGGGCTCTCACACGCAACCTCTTCCTATAAATCCACCCTCATCAGTAAAGAGGAGGCTATTTCAGCCCCCGGTCTGCTAGTCACTTCTTTTATTTCTCAACTTGTTCACAGCCCAGGCAGGCAGAAGGCCAGAGACCCAAGTAGCCAGCATACATTTAAAGAGATATTATCTTACTATTTCCTAAAAATGTACGTCTCAATTAGACAAAACTACCAAAGACTTCAGTTGATACCCAGGCAGTACTTCTCCAAGTGGGGTCATCTGCCTCTGAATCTCTGGGGGATGTGGGGGGCTGGGGGCTATCTAGAATGCAGATTCTGGGCCCATCCCCAAATTTCTAAACCGGAATCATCAGAAGAGTAGAGAAAGAGAGGTGAGGCCCAGGCATCTGCATTTCATAACAAGCTTCCATAGGTGATTTTGAAGCACAGTAAATGTTACAAAGCATTGCACTAAACAGTCATCACTAGTCTTGAGAAAACCCTAAGTAATCTACGCTGTTATGGTGACCAAAGCCAAACCACCAAGTGAAAGAGGAGGCTGCAGAAAATATGACCCAGGAGAGAAAACTTGAAATGTTAAGAACCCGCAAATGCTAGCTAGGAATAACAGCAAAGAAATATTCATGAGGCTATTAAAGAAATAGATAAATAGCTTTCTGCCTCTATTAGGGATGGTACTTCAAAGCTGAGTGGCATCAAAGAAGAGGGATGAATAGGACAAATGAAAGCTGTGGGCTTCAATTATTTATTGGCATGGTGAAAAATGAAATTTGCGGGATTCAGAGCCTTCAACATATTCTAAATAAACTGCTCTTGCCTGGCTAAATTAGTATGTTAAAAGACTGGGTGTTAATTAGTTGCCTTTACACTGCTCTACCTACCCACAATACAACCGAGGAGTTATTATCTCCTCCTTGTTAATTGGCTATTAACAGCAGGATGCAATTGCTTTGGAAATTATTCCCTTGGAAGTGCTTAAGGTCTAATGTTGAGAAATGTATCTGTGCACATGTTTGCATATGGGCCAAGAAATAGCCTGGAATGCCAATACTTTCGCATACTTGCTGGACTACAAAGTAGGTTTCCTTCTTTTTTATCTAATTGTTCGCATCCATACTTCCTAAACCAGGTGTGAATCTGCTTCGGGGCCAGGGAAGCTTCCCTAGGCAGGAACAAAACCTGCTGCATTGGTCACATTTGTGTAATTTAACCCTATTTAGTTCATTGGTATCTTATATATGTCTATTTTTTATAGTCATACTATTAAATATAAATTAAATATAATTCAATATTATATTTATAGAATATATAATAATATATTTATATTAGAGGGCTTATAACTAATTTTTATTGGAGTGAAAAGACATTAACATGCATTAATCTTAACGTACAGTTTGATGCAATTTTACATCTCTATACATCTATACAACTTCTGTACAAACGACACCATTTCCAGAAGTTTCTCTGGTGCCATTTCTCAGCTCACTGTAAAAGATAAGCTAAGTCAGACATTAAAGTGATGAAAATGACTTTATTCAGTATCTGACAGCAGAGGAGAGAGCTGAGCTTCATTCCAGCTTGTGCTTGCATGGGGTGACAGGGAGGTGACAGGACGTTTTCAAGGGAAAGTGAGACAGTAGGGAAGGAGAGTGGGGGGCTCCAGCACAGTGAGGGAAGAGACGCATAGCAAAGAACTGGTCAGTGCAAATGTAATGAGGCCAGTGGGGTCAGCCATTGGGCTGCTGTGGAAGTCAGGATTCTTCCTCCCCACAGAGACTGGGAGACAGAGATCCTGTCCTTCCTGCTGGTTACATTTCAAAGAAATGGCTTTCAGTTCCTTGAGAAAGACATCACTGAGTCACAGGACATACACATACATGTCAAAGGCACAGAGGAAAAATTAACAATTGTAAAGCCCCTTTCAGTAAATTCTCCAAGAATTTAAGAACAAACAGTAAATTCTTATGACAGCCCTGAGCTTGTCTAGACAGAAACTCAAAAGGAGAGACTGGGTTATCCCGTGGACTTGACTTTAGGCTGCTGGAAGGGTGGGTCGCATCTCTTAGTGCAGGGTTTTGACAGAGTCATTATGTGCTGAGAGAGTTCTTTGCTGTTCTTCACCACCAAAAGGGAAGGCTGAAGCTCTCAGAGAAAGCCCTATCTTTATTTGCTCTCTTTCTCTTTGCTCACGGAGTCACTGTTTCTCATCTCCCTTTATACACCATAGGTTTAACGAAGAAGAAATTGAAACTAGCATTCCTAATTCTGAGAACCTTAAAAATGTACCCACACATGTTAACCAAATGCCTATCGTTGTAAGCTATTGAGTACAATATCCCAATTTCTGTTGGATCTGGGTAGGAAAAAGCTATTTTCATCTAACCCTGGTTTCTTCCTGTAGCAGAGGCTTTAAATAAGTGGTTTGGGAACCCCTGGGGTTCACCCTAAGACTTTCAGTGAGTCTTCAATGTCAAAACTACTTTTATAATAAAAATTAAATGTTATTTGTCTTTTGTTATCATGTGGATATTTTCAATGATGACATAAAAGCCAAGGTGGATAAAATCACCATAGCACAAATCAAAGCAGTGGCTCCAAACTGCACTACTAGTTATTGTATTCTTCACTGCCATGCACTCATAGTTTTTATTTTTAAATACCAGTTTCACGTAAGAAAGTCCTTTATGAAGCAGTAAAAAATATTATTAATTTTATTAAGTCTCTACCTTTGAATGCATGTCTTTCTAATATTGTGTGACAAAATTGGAAGCATACATAGAATACTTTTGCTACCCACCAAAGTATCATAGTAGACTTATGGGAAAGTATTTGTGTGGTTACTTGAGTTGCTAGTTGAACTAGCCACTTTTTTCATGGAACATAATTTTTGCTTGAAAGAATAACTAATAAACCGTAGCTGTTTAGATTTTATATTTAGCAGACATTTTCTCAAAAATGAATAAAGTAAGCTTGTCATTTCAAGGGTAATAAGTTACAGTATTTGTTTTGCTAATTTTAAAATTAGAACTTTCCAGTGAAAATTAAAATTTTGGAAAACCTGCATCTGCCATCATGAGTGTGACAGCTTCTCAACACTTAACGACTTTCTTATGAGCTCTGCAGTAACATTAACAAATGTGATTTAGCAAATTATTATATGAAATGAGTCAACATTTGGGAGATGTGTATCTCTGAATACCAATATTTTCCAAATGACCAATGATGTTACAAAATCATGCATGATAAAAATATCCATTCAAGGGGCAAGATAGACCAATAGATTTTAATGTAATGATACAAAAATTTCACTGATGTGGTTTCACATTCCACATCATTACCAGCCTTTGAGAAATACCACTTGTCAAGTTTTGGTATCGTATCAGAGAACAATAGCCATAATTATCTGAAAAGCTATTAAAATACTTTTCCTTTTTCCATATCTATGTGAGGCCAGATTTTTTTTTACATATATCCATCAAAACAACACATCACACAGAATAAAGAAGCCAATATGAGAATATAGCTACGTTCTATTAGGCTGGACATTGTCTAATTTAATCATTGATTGGCATATACTCTCCATGTCATGCTTTCTTGGCCTGACACACTTTAGTAGCATCATTGAGCACTACAGAAAAGAAGCATTTGGAGGCAGGTGGTTGGATCAAAGGAAATGCAGCATGAGGACACATTGATGGAATTTTCAAAATACTTGCTTGAAATGCAAAATTAAAACAATTAAATACTTTTATCACTTTTTAAATTGGCAAAGATTTTTCTTCTTACTATTATTGGTATTACTGTATATGCCACCTGGGCAAAAATACATTCTTGCATGCTGCTCATGGAAGCATTATTTAGCACAAATTTTCTGGAAGACCGGCAGTTATAGACTTTAAAACCCATACACAATGCTTCAGGACTCCAGGATTTGCACAATTCTAAGGAGAACCATTATATTTATAAGCAGTTGACATATAAGTGGAATTGCCACGGCTGTGAACTGTGATCCGACAGGCATACCCTTTGACCCAGAAATTCCACTTCCGGGAACTTTTCCTAAGCAACTGATAAACAATGTATGCAAAATCCAAAGTCTTTAACACAATGTAATCTATAATAGTGTAAAATCATAAAGAATCAGTAGTAAATGAAACAAGTTAGTACATCTATACTTTGCAGCCATTAAGAATGAAGTGGGAGGTGAATATTCAACGACCTTTAATGACATAGCATTTAGGTATCATGTGGCTAAAACAGTATATATGGGATGATCCCATTTTCAGTTGAAACTGTGATCAAACACATTTGAGCATCACCATATCGCAGTGGTGAAATACACAGCTCTACAATCAGAACACCTTGTTCAAATACAGCCTTTGATACTTATTTCCCAAGGGGTCTTGCACAAGGTGCTTTGTCAAGTAGATCTGGAATGCGGTTGCTGCCTACAGTTACGAGCATATGGAGAGAGTAGAAGGAGATAAGGAAAGGCTCAATTTTTTCACCCCAACAAGAGCAATGGTTCTTCCATATCTTTCCATACCATCGGAGAGGACTCCTGGTTGGCTCCATCCACGACTGCTCTCAACAGCCTTCACAGATGCATAGTGCCTACTTCTCAGCTACACCCACATCAAAATGCCAGTCCATGTTACTGATGTTTACTTACTATCAGCAATTTGGCTTCTCTGAAGTTTAGAGTTTGTTGTATTTTGTATCTGTTTATTTATTTGCATATTGTCAGGAGGATTCTGGTTTGCATTTGGAGCAAAATAACCAACTGTATACAAAAATATTCTTGCAATTATTATCATTAGTTCATTTTCCTTAGCACAGAAGTAACTCCCTGCAACATGCTAATGATGATTTGATAACATCATATATACCAAGATCACTAAGTTGTCTATAGAATGGCAACATAGCTAAATATGCTAATTTTCTCAGTATTTAGAATCTCCCTGCTGGGTTCCCCTGAGAGTAGGACCTGAGCTTTCAAGTCTGTGACGAAAATAGTTCTAGAGCTCAGAACTCCCTTTCACCTTTACTGAAGGCCTCCCTGGCCCTGGCCCTTCTCAATGGCCATGACTGTCATTGACGTTAGTGCTGCTCACTCTCCTCCTGGGCACCAGGGGGATGGGGATTCTCTGGCCACTTGAGGTCAGGTACAGCCAAGCCACATGGCTTCTCCAGTGAAATTAAAAAAGAAATAACAAGTGTCATTTCTGAGCCCAGTGTGAGATTCACCAGGGCTCCCTTTACTCTACCACAAGCCTCAATGTCCCAGCCAGTGGAGCCACCTTTATTCAGGGACCTTGAGTGAAGATGACATGGAACAGTCCTCTGGAATGGGGAAAGATAAACCATTGTTTTAAATCACCAAACTTTCTCTCTAAAGGGCCAGAGAGTAAATATTCTCAAATACGCAGGCCATTTGGTTTCTATCACAACTGTTCAACAGTGCTACATGTAGCATCAAGCAGCCCTAGATGACATGTAAACACATTAGTGTGGCTGTGTTCCAATAAAACTTTATTTATAAGCACAGGAAGTGGGCCAGATTTGGCCCTGGGCCATACTTTCCTACCTCTGTGTTAAGCCATTACAATTTGAGGTTATTTATTACCACAGCATAACCTAGCTTTAATTGACCAATAAAATAATAATAGGACTGTTAGGGCAACACACTTGAGAAACAAGTCCCAGGCAGTGACACAATTTATAATGGTGACTTAGATTGGGATGAAAAGTCCTCTGAAGTAACAGTCCCTTGAAGTCAAAGCACCTAGCCAAAGCAAAAGCAGCTTGGGGAAGTTGAGGAGACATGCATGGAGAAGAAACAGAAAGATATTTCTGAAGGAGAAATCTGTCCTAATAGTTAAGACAGATGACTAAATCACCTGAGCAGCTGCTGGTGCATTTCAGAGCCACCAAGAACACATTCCCCCACTCCTTCCCCTTTGCTAGACCTAATGTGTTCTAGATATAAAGTACTTTCCAAGAGAAAACCTCTACAGCATTGATCCTCAAAATTTAGTCTGCATCAGGAGCACCTGAGGGTTGATCAAAAACTCCCCAATTGATAGAGGGTCCCACTCTCAAAATTTCTGATTCAGGAGGTCAGCGGTTGGGCCAGAATATTTGCACATGTAACACAAGTCTCAGGTGCTGCTGCTGCTGGTCTAAGAGCTACACTTCGGCATCCACTATTCCAGTCAGTACAAATTCCACCTTGGGCAAAAACAGGGACCTCAGATTTCAAAGCATCCTACATTTTCAGAGTGCATTTTATTCTCAGTTAAGAGTGATGGTTTTATGGGAAATTAGCTGTGATGCACATGGCGCCTTGAAAAATGCTTACCCAATTACACTCACTCCCTTGTGTCTCCGTCTCTGTTATGAGAAGAGCAGGTCTGGTCTAGCTCTTCAGTGCCAGGAGAATGAGAAAAACTTCTCAGAATTCCCCTCCACCCAGCCAAGCCTAGATCGACTGATCACCAGCTGGCGACAGAAGTGTTGATTGAGTCTAGCCAAGGCCAGTTGGACCAACCAGCCAAGCCCGGGCTAGACCAGCTGACCCCAGCCTACTCACAGAACTGTAAGAAATAATAAATATTTTAAGCCACTGAGTTTTGAAAGTGGTTTTGTACCTGGCAATAGCTAATTAATACATTCTGTAATTACCATCACAGGGCATTTCGCTTACTTTATTCTTGTTCCAGCTTCTTGGCAATAAAATGACTTTAATTATGCTGATTTATTACAAAAAAAAAAAGAAGTGATAGTTTTAAGGTTAAAGTAACCCAAATTCACATCCTGTTACTGACTTTACTAGCACTGTGACGTTAGAGAAGTTACTTCTCTGAGCCTCATTGCTCTCTTCAAGAAAGATGTGGTAAGAATATCTACCCCACAGAAGCATTGAATTGAATGAGGTGACACTTCTCAGGCTTCTAGAACACTGCTTGGCTCAGAGTAGGTGCATTCTCTAAATTGCTGAGCAATTTGCAAGTATGGGCAAGGTCTAACACTTTGGGAACCAAGCCTTAAGTGCCATTTCAATTGTTTTTGAGATCCTGCCTCCTCAAAAGGAATAATATCATTCCCAAGGGGTTTAAAATTGGTTCTTGGGAAAAGGGGTGAACATCCTTACTCTTTTAAACAGATATACAGCATATATCTAGGGTATTAAAATTTCATGGTGAGGGTGCAATTAGGAAAAAGATGTCTAAAATGTTTTTAGACATCTTAAGCTTAATAATGAAAAACTGAGAAACACTTTTTTAGATGATGTCATGAGGACTGAATAACTAGCTCAAGGTTACACAGATTCAAAGTGACAGGGCCAGGATCTGAAACCAGGTCTCTAACTCCAGACCCAGCGTTCTCATCCCAACACAATTTTGCCATTTATATATAGCCTCATAATCCAGCATAAAAAACAAAGGAGAAAAAGAACAAGAACTGAATCTCCCTTCCTTCCCCCAAAAGATAGCATGGCATCATGCTGTTCAACTTTACATAACTTAGTTGTCTTAGTTCATATTGTGCTGCTATAAAATAATCCTGAGATGGTAATTTATAATGTATAGAAATTTGTTGGCTCACAGTTTTGGAGGCTGGGAAGTCCAAGACCAAGGCATTGGCATCTGGCAAGGGCTTTCTTCCTGTATCATTATATGGCAAAAAGGGGCCAAACCCCCCCCCCTTTTATAACAGCATTAATCCTACCCATGAGGGCAGAGCCCAATGGCCCTATCAACTCCCAAAGGTCTCACCTCCTAACATCACCACAACAGCAAACAAATTTTAACATGAGTTTTGGAAGGGACCAACATTCAAATCATAGCAATAGTACACAACAGTTGTTTTTTTGTTTTTTGTTTTTCAATTTCCCTGGGTCTACACCTTTGAAGTTAGAACTGATCTAAAAGTCAGTATAGCAGAATGGAAAACATATTGGAATCAAACAGACTTGCATTTGAGGCCTGGCCTTCGCCACTTACTGACTGGGTGATCTTAGCCAATTACTCAATCCCATGAGACATCATCTATAACAGGAGACACAGACTTTCTGTAAAGGGTCAAATAATAAATATTTTAGATTTTCCCAATCATTACAAATTATCTCTGTTGCAGTTACTCAACTCTGCTGTGCAGTCTGAAAGTAGTCAGACTATTTTTTCATAGTCATATGAAAAAAATAAGCTTAGATGTGTTTCAATAAAACCTTATATACAAAACAAGGAGGCAGGCTGGATTTGGCCCAGTGGCTATAGATCTGCGAGATAGTGATAGGAGTAATGATGATCTGCAAGATAGGAGTAATGATATTAATAATTTTGGATATCTATAGCTACTTAGTAAACCACTCCACAGTAAATGCCTTAAAACTGTAGTAAATTACCTCTCACAGCTCTGTGCATCAGGAACTCAGGTGGGGCTCAGATGGACGGTTCTTCTGCTTCAGTGGCATCAGCTGAAGTCACTTGCTCAGCAGCATTCAATCAGCAGCTAGTCAGGGACAGAAGCCTAAGAAAGCTTCTCTACCCCAACCAGCGCCATTCCATGTGGCCTCTCTCTCCCTCATCATTGAGAGGGAGAGAGAGGCAACTCACACAGGCAACTCATCATTCAGTAGTCCAGGCTGGGCGTCTTTACACTGTGCCTGGCTTCCCCAGAGAAAACGTGGAAGCTGCCAGCTTCTTAAAGGATGGGTCTAGAAATGGCAGGGCACTGTTTCTGCCACATTCTGTTAAGTGAAGCAAGTCACAAAGCCATGCCAGGTTCAAGAGGAGGGAAAAGATGTTCTTGTGGGTCTCTGTGATAGGTAAGGTCCTGGTCACCCACATTCTTGCCTCGATGACTACAATAACCTCCTTCTGTTCTCCTTGCTTCCACTTTTGCCCACTTGTGTCCCCTTTGGTCTACTCTCCCCAGAGTGACCATGTTAAAAAGCAAGTCAGATGATATCACACCATTGTTTCCAACCCTCCAGTGGCTTCCCATGATACTTAGAATACAGTGCAAACTCCTACCCTGACCTGTGAGGCCCTGTTTGATTTTCCCCTGACCAGCTCTACAACCTTCTTTCCTCTGCTCTCCCCACTGCTCACCCACTCTGCCTGCACTGGTCTCTCTGCAGTTCCTTGAAAATGACAAGCATGCTCCTGCCTCTGGGCCTTTGCACTCACTGTTTCCCTTTTGTGCAGTACCCTTGCTTCACAAATTCATATGGCTTAATCTCATAATTCTCTCAGATGTCTGCTCAAATATATTCTCATCACAAATATCTTACTGGCCCATCCTATCTCAAAGGCTATGTGCCATCACTCTCTAGCCACTTGCCTAGCCTTGTTTTTTCACTGCAGTGTTCATCACTACTTAACCTATTATATATGTATTGATTTATTTGTTAACCACCTCTCCCTCTTGCAATATAAGCCTCATGTGGCAGGGATTCTATTGTGTTCACTGCTGAATCCTCGGCATCTAGTGATTAGCATGTAGTATGAGCTCAATAAATATTTGAGTCAGGGAAGGGAGAAAGGGAGGAAGGGTGGGAAGGAAGAGGAAGGATGGATGTCCTTGAATGTGATGCTACCACTGTAGGCTTCTCATCAGATAACTCCATGTATTTCTAGAGACTTGACTACAGAAATGTGAGATTTTCATCAGACAGTTTCCTCCATCCCCTTGCATGGCATGAATTTTTTAAAGACATCTCCTTTATTATATTGCAAATTCTATTTCACTTAGACTCCAGGCTGGCTTTCGAGAACTGAATGTATTCTTAAAAGCTACTCTGTGCCAGTTTCACCAAATGCAGTGTTTCAAAGAATACTTCTGGCCACTTCTTGTCTTGTTTTCCCTTTCCTGTGATTAGTTATGGTCAAGATGAAAGCAATCTGCCAATAAATCTTTTCAAGGGCACTTTAATTGAGATGCTCATGTTCAAATTTTTTAGCCTCGAAATGAAATGCTCAAGGGAAGTCATGTTAGATGAGCTGAAATAAGATCTAGGGCTTTGTTTTTAACAAACACACTGCTAACAGTCAGGCAGTGGAGAAGTGAGGACTTGAACAGAGCAGGAGGCAAGTAAGGAGGCTAAAAGTATGGAACTGTTATCTGGCAGAACTTGAATTCTAGCTCTACTATTTACAAGGTCTGTAACCTTTGAAATGTTGCTTATGCTCAATTTTCTCACACACACATGCAAAAATTAGAATCATAATTATCTATTCTATAGGCCTGTTTTAAGAAATAAACTACAAAATGTTTTGCATGGAGCCTGTCAGTATTAAGGGTCTAATTAATGTAGGCCCTCATCATCGATGTTAAGATGGAAACATCTGAAACCTTAAAGCTGTGTATCTAGCACATTCCATGCTTGGGACAAGAGAGGTGGTTTTCCAACCAATGGATAAGAATGAGAAGTCAGTTCAAGGAAAAGCTACTGGGATCATCAGAAAGTGAAGGAATGTTTGACTATGAATGAGATTGCCGTGGAAAGAGCCAGTTCTTCAGCCAGTGGAGCACTAAGTTGCTACCACGAAAGAAAGTAGCAGAGGAGGGTAAAGCTGAGATTTAGGGGAACTTTCTTCTGACAGAGGATGGAACAGTTGTCCCTGGACTCGGAGACCTGACTAAGACTACACCACTCCCAACCTGCCTGGGAACCGTGACCGCCCACCCTCCAAGGCACTGTGAAGAGAAGACAGACACAGCGGGCAAAGCCAAAGTCAGAAAATCATAGTCCTCTATGAACACGGCCAAGTTTTCACTTTCAAAGGGAAGCCAATATCTAAGCTGATCAGAAACGTCAGGTCAACAACTTGCTCTACAGAAGCTGGCCGGAGATGAGAGGAAACAAATAGTTCTCTCATTCTTGAAAGCAAAACAAGCCTCTTTATATTTCAAAACAAAACCTTATCTAAGCTGATGGTCACAGAGGCTGGCAGTGGTCCACCGGCCTCCTCATTTCCACCAGGAGTTCTGAGCCACCCCCACCCCCGTGATGCTATCGCTAGCTAGAGGAAAATCTCCATTTTCATTGAATTTGAGAATAAAACAAAGCTGCAGAACCAGATTCTCCCTCCTCCTTTAAGCACTTGAATCAGTTTAATGGTGAGCTCAGATACCCTAGGGCAAACAGGAAATGAGTAAATATTGTCAGGGTTTGAAATTGTTATTTTCCCCCTAAAGCATTGTGTATTTCCAGTGAAAGCAAGAACACAGCAAAGTACTCTAAACCAAGAGTCAAAAAATCTCTTTATTGTCTAGCAACATACTCATAAGTGAGCCTCAGAAAGTACACAGCCCCGAATCTCCTAGAACAATGCCGATTCCTATTTTATACTTTTCAATAATGACTCTTTATGAAAGACTGCCAAATATAGTCATTTATGCCTTTCACATACATAGAAAGATAAAAAGGGATCTCCTGTAAAGGCTATGTGACCGAATATTTTGGTAGCCATATTTAATTGGAATACGCCTAAGTTGCCTCCCAAGCCTGCCTATTCTTCTCATTTTTCAGATTCTCCCCGCAGGTACCTGCTCTCTCCACCTTTACAACAGTAACTCCCAACTCTGTACAGTAGACTCACATCTTATGCAGAAGTTAGGTCCCAAAGTCAGAGATCAAGGCAAAAATTATGAACAGTACCAAAATTATCCTTGAACTTCTACTCTCAGCCAGGCAAAATGGTCATTCCATGGGAAGCATGTAAGAGCTGGGACTTACCAGAAGCCACAGCCCCCTGCCTCCCAGTGGGCAGATGTTCATTGTCTAGAATAGCAGATTCCACCCGGGCTCTACCTGTCACTCTTTCCCTTTCTTTGGCGAGTACATCAGAATTCGACCAGGTTCTATGGTTCTAACAGAACCACCATTACAAGTACATGCATATGTCTGTAAGGCTGTTCTCTCTGTGTCTGATGCTGGAGTCTGAAGTCCCTGGGGCAGGCAGCTGGCAAAGGAAGGCCGATGTAGAGCAGAAGAAACCAAGTGCAGACTGGAACCCACAGCAGGAGGACAGAACCCAGCCTAGAACCAGCAACTAAAACCTCTGTCCATTCTTGTTGCTTCTCACTTTGACAGTGTGGGCCCCCACAGAAGCCAAAGTCCATTGCCACGTAGCTAAACACACACACCTGAGCCAGGAGTCAAAGAGGCAGAGGGAGGAGTGGAGGGGAAGTAGACCAGTTGCAGGGTGGCTGCCCTACATGCAGACGACGCAGGTCAACAGGTCAACACCGATGCCTGGGAGCTGTAAAATGGCCCTGGCCACCCTTCCACCCTCCCAATCCCCTGAGACTCTCCCTTGTGACCCTCCTTAACAGGAAACATACATAAGGGAATTCTGGGAAATTTAGGTGAGCCTACCCAAGCCGCCATTTTACAAAGCCATCACAGTGAGTGCTTGTTGGATGCTGCAACCTAAATGTGGCCAAGCCCCATCTTCTGGTTTCAAGACCCCTATATTCAAAAGCTTCCCGGGCCGCTCCCTGGGGTGGTCCCCACGAGCACTTTGCACTCACTGTGCTGCTTGCTGCCCATAACAACTTCCCTCTCAAATCTACCTCCAATCGTGGGTAATAAAACAGTCTAAGCCTGATACCTGGTGGTCGACAGAACCCAGGGACAGCAGAGTTCCGTTTGTTGCATGGAGAGGGCCACTGACAGGAGCGGTGGGCTTCATATGGAGAGCAGTCAGCCTGGTCTCATCTTCTTCCTGCCCCTGTATTCTGCTGGGCTCCCTGCGAGCAGAACCCTCTGGAAAGCAGAGGATAGGGAGGCCCACTGATGTGGTAGGGAGTGGGGGTGGGGATTTGGACAAGAGTTTCCAGAAGAAATGGCTGAGCCAGGCCTGGAGCGGCTGTCTCTTAGCAGACGCGGCTGTCCCAGGCTGACACGCAGGGCCTGCATCCAGGAAAGGGTGTGGCCTGGCATCGTTGCAGCACAACTAATGGGCTAGAAAGGTGGGCTCGGGCTGATTTCTAGACGGCAAGGGACCTGGGTGTCAGTCATGGGGTGGCACGAAGGATGCAAGGAGGAGAGCAGGGTCGCAGCCACCCCCATCACTCCCACTTGAGCCCTCGCTATGCCCCAGCCCTGTGCCTTCACCTGTATCCTGTCACTGAGCCCTCACAGCGGCCCTCTGAGTTGGATACTCTCAGTGTCCCCATTTCAAAGAAAAACCTGAAGCAAATTGTCTAAGGAACTTGCCTGAGGTCACACAACTGACAGGAGGCCGGGCTGCAATTTGAAGCCACATCTCTCTAGCTCAAAGCCGCAGTGCGTAACCACGTGCCCACCCCAGGGCGTGGGAGCAAGTCCACCAGCCAGGAGTGCAGGACGGGCTGGGCAGGAGACGCCAGGGTGAGGAGGTCCATGGATTCTACTGCAGGAGTGCTCCAGGCGGGACTTAGGGCTTGAGTGAGAGCAGGAAAGACAGGACCAGGAGCCAGGCTGCAGCTGGGGTTGATGGAACCCAGGGCTGGGCCAGTTACCCTGGGAGGGAAGCAACAGAGGAAGGGAAGACGGAGGGCCAGGCCTGCCCCCGGAGCTAGTGGGTGAGGGCGGCTTAAAGGAGAAGAGTAGGCCATCAAGGAAGGGAAGTAGGACAGTACCCAAAGATATGTCTCTGTAATCGTCCCTTCTCCCCCCTTGGCCAGATTAAGGATGGAAAGAGCACAGGCTCTGGGGTCCAAAGACACTGGCTTGAACTTGAGTCCTACCATCCACCAGCTAGGTGGCTCGAGGATCCTCACTCTCACTGTCCTCTGTAAACCAGGGTGGTGGCCCCACTCCCTACAGGACTTTTCCAAGGATGAAATAAAATGATGCATAAAAAGCACTAGCCCAGGGTCTGATTTTAATAAGTTCCCATGAAATATTCATTCCTTCCCCTCCTCCTCCTTAAATTAAGAAGTCAGAATGCTTCAATGAAGTAGAGGTGGCTACATGTTATTTTCAAAGCTGACAGCAACGTTCCTCTTAGGGAAAACACTGTTATTTAGAAAAACATCCTGAATGACTATTCTGGTTGTGAAAAGACAGGTTCTAGGCATGATACGGAAGATGGAGGAGACACAAAAATAAATAGATCAGCAGAGTAAGATAAATTTTATTTCACATTCCAGAATGAAGGATATGGTAGGAGGCGTGACTGAGAACAGATAGAAATTGACACACACGACCTGGCCCCAGGGCAAAGGAGGGCGTGGCAACCTGGGGAGAGGCCAGAGCCGGGGGAATAGAAGACACCAGAGAGAAGCTCTCGACAGCAGGAAAGGCCAAGGGAGCTGCACACGGGCCAGCAAAGGCTACTGCATGTTTCCAGCTGCCCAGCAGGATTACTGCCACTCCTCCTCGGTAAACCTCTGTTGCATCGGCTCTGCAGTTGGGGATGCTCTAGGGAGATTCTTAAAGAGTTTGTGGCACCTTTGGGTGAACATAGAGGAAAATGGAAAGAACAGCCCAGGAAGGTGAACCCAGGTCAGGATCAAGAATTGTGCAGCGATGACAGTCAATGCAGAGAAAGTTGAGAAAGAAAATGTCAGCCTCCAGGCGTTCATGAAAATATTAAGACAGGAATGGGACTCCCACTGTCTGTGACACCAGGAGCACAGGCCTTTTGTTATTTGTTTTTAAATATTAAAGTTGAGGATAACCCCATAAGCCCTCAGGCTGTAGATTCCTAGACAGACAATATTTGAATTATTTATGTAACCCAGATATCAACTGCAGCTCCTTGACCTTCACTTGAACTTGGCTTGAACTCTACTTCCTTAACCACTTCGGTGAAACCTTGCCCACAGCTGGCACTCATAGTCCGCACCATAGTGTGTGCTGTGCATTGACGACAAATCCGTTTTGCTCTTGTGTGATGAGGAAAGCTTTAAAGCACTGAAAGCTTGTTTTACTTTACAGGCAGCTTTAGGAAAATAACTGTAATAACTCCTATTAAGAACTTGTTAAAAGGTCACAGATTCGTAGTAACTTATTAGCTGAAAGTACACACTGCAACTGCAGAGATAAAAGTAAAAGCTTTAGGCTGGCGACTAAAGTCGACACTCAGCTGTGCGCCTTCATATCATGGCTGTTGGCTAAAGTCATCGCTCGCGTTCATCTGTGGCTAATGACTATAGTCGACGCTGGTACCGAAGTGGTTAAGCGTGAGAATCCAAACACCAACACCAGCCACTCTCTGTGAATTCCTGGTCTCATTTTCTCATGGTGTCCCATCCCTATTTCTCTGCCAGCACCTAGCCTCTCCCTTCCATTCCCCATCAATACCCACAAAAATGTCCACTTGAGCCAAGCCACTCTGAATCTGGTAGCTGCATTGCACAGTTGTCAGCCAAATGCTCCCTGTACACAGGCTGCTGGGCACGAACACCCCCGCCACAGCCTGGGCCCTGAGAGTGTGGCCAGCCCTCCCTGGGGAGCAGACCCCCAGGCCGGTCTGACTTACCCGGCCGCCCATTCACCACCTCAATTATACGGATTCCAGGGTTTTAATCCTTCTACTTACAGAGTGTCTCAAAAGTCAGGGCAATTTAAAGCAAACATTAAGTCTTTTGGGACACGCTGTATAAAATTTGTTTTAAGAATATGGTTGTATTGGACTTTTTTTTTTTTTAGCTTGACACAGAGGTTAGATCAGGCAGCAGAAAAATAGAAAGTGCTAATAAGAAGTGGAGTAATGAGAACAGTTCGCATGGTTCCAAAAATTTCCTTCCAAGTCTGTTCCAAACCCATTTGAGATTTCTCAGGGATGCTACTACACTTGCATGTGCGCACTCTCTGTCTCTCTCTCTCTCTCTCTCTTTCACACACACACACACACGCGCGCGCGCGCGCCACCAGCGGGCTCTCCCTGACTGAGTCCCAGGACAGCCAGGGCTCCTGGAGGTGCACACTCTGGCCAATGGCACCAGCCTGAGCACTGGTTCCCTGGTCAGCAGCTATGACATTCAGGGCAGAGGCAAGACAAGAGAAGCAGAGGAAGCCAGGGGAACGTCTCCGCGTCTGCTTCTCAAGCTCAAGGTCATCCTCATCCCCTACATTCTGAGCTGATACATGCTTGGCCAGCCCTTGTCCTGGCCATGGGCTATCAAGTGAGAAGGGCTGCAAGGGAACCCGCTGTCCTCCTCTTCCCAATTCTTCCCAAGCTACGAGAACCTATAATCTGCTTCTGCCTCCTTCTGACCATGCGGTCTTGGGCAAGCCTTGCTTTCTAGGTGTGTTTCCTCATCTATAAAAGCCAGGGATTGGTAAGAGACACCTGAGGGTCATCGCAGCTTTAACACCCTAGGACCATGACCTCGATGTTTACAGAACTGAAACTCAAGACTTCTTTGCCTCCAGGTGGGAGGATGCACTTCTCTTATGATTACAGCTATTTATTCATCTGTCTAGAAAGCTCTCACATAAAGGAGGCATTAAATTCCTCTTTGATCAAATATTTTCAGCACATGTGCATTCAAGTGTGCATACACACACATACACACACACACACACACACATACACACCTTCTTTTTAGGACTCAGATTTTTGTTTTGGGTTTTTTTTTTTTTTTTTGAGACAGAGTCTCACTCTGTTGCCCGGGCTAGAGTGCCATGGTGTCAGCCTAGCTCACAGCAACCTCAAACTCCTGGGCTAAAGCGATCCTCCTGCCTCAGCTTCCCAAATAGTTGGGACTACAGGCATGCACACCATGCCTGGATAATTTGTTCTATATATATTTTTTTAGTTGGCCAATTAATTTCTTTCTATTTTTAGTAGAGACGGG